AGGTAACCTTTAACCTTCTGGGGCTTCTATAACCCTACTATAGTTCAGGTTAGCCTTTTTGGGGCTAGGGTACTCAGCCCCCAAGAATATCTAAACCCTAAACCTTCAACCCTAAACCCTAAACCTATAATGGTACATGGACCCTTTGGGATTGTTTTTGCTCAGCGCCTGAAGATGCGATAGACATAGACCCGAAGCACAGGCAGCTGAACCCAAAGGCTGGGGCATCCCTTCGCAGACATGATCCATATATATATATATATATGTGAAAAAAGATATGATAGATTTAACACATACATACATATTATATATATATATATATATGTAAAAGTGTGTGTGTGTGTAGACAGACATATATATATATATATATATTCACACTGTACATATATATATATATATATATGTGTGTGTGTATAAATGCACGCCATTGTGGCTGTCATTGTTGCTATTGTTATCATCATTGCCCTGATTATCGTTGTTGCCACACACACACACACACACATATATATATATATATATATATATATGTATATATACATATGTACATGTACACATAGATGTATGCACACTACTGCTATTGTCATCGTCACTGTTATTGTTATAGTCTTTGCTATGGTTATCGTTATTATGTCATTACTGCCGTTATTCTCACTTCTGTGAGAATTCTTGTATAGAGCGCTTTCATGTAGCCAGTGAGTCGGATAGTCCAATGCTGTTAAGCATGACATCTGAGTGCAAGGTTTGAGCAGAACGTTAGCGGCGCAAGTCCGATCACAAACAGAGCTCCTATGTCAAGTTCACACAGCTCATTCAACACCGAAGCTGGATTCCTAAACCATGTTTCTGTTTGACTATCAAGGCTATCACAGTGAATAGGCGCTGTACTTCTATGGAATGCTGAATTTTAACTCTCTTCGACAGATCGCTTTTGCAGAAGCCACACTACCACATGACGAGAGAAGGCGGCAGCATCGGAGTCGTAGGTGGATGAAAGGCTTTGTGTGTTCTTGAGGCTTCAGGGCTTGGGGCCTATAGGGTTTGTAGGGCTATGAATCTCTAAGATCTTCCCATCAGCGAAGCGCTGCATTCCATGTCCCCTGTCCTTTGCCAATTTGCTAAGCCTGAGACTTACAGAGCTGCTTCTTAGTATTTCAATTGACAACAACGAGAATCTGCAGCTGTCGCTTCTTCATGATCTGATTTGTGATTAGATGTCCGGCATAAGCGTTCCGACGGCTGGCTGACGCAACACAACACAGGAGGAGGCACATACCTTAAGGTAGGGCTGCAGGGCCTTAAATACAACCCTAAATCCTTTGAGCCCCAACCCTTAGTGCCCCGACCCTGCCAACCCTCGCACACGTCTGCGTCAAAGGTATGCAGTTGGGCGATTGAGGAACTACCGCCGTCCCCTGCCGCGCTGCCACCGTCGGACCTTCTGGCTTTGCCACCCCCGACGCCACCACCGATGCTTTTCTTGAGAAAGTTCCTTCAAGGGTTTCTGGAAGGGTTCAGGTTTAGGGTTTGGGATGTCGTTTTTAAAACAAGTCTGTATCATTATCCCCAAGTCTACTAACTTGTCCTCCCCCCCATAGTACCCTAAACCCTAAACCCTAAACCCCATAGTACCTACTGCCAAACAAGGAGCAGTTTCTGGGACGAGGGGACAGAAAGCGCCATGGCTTGGTCTGCTTGGGGCATGTAGGGTTTGGTGCTCTGAACCCTACCCTGAAGGCCTTACACCCTCGGGCACCTCAAAAAGTACCACTTCTGAGACCCCAAAGAGACCCAAGGGCTAGGAGATTCCGGACCCTCCTAAAGAGATACCTGGACCCTTAGGGTAAACCCCTAAACCCTAAACCCTAAATTGCGAAGGGCTTGGTGCCCTGAACCCTAAACCCCAGCTGTAGGGGTGGTCAGGCCATGGTGGATACTTGAAAATTAAACCCTAAACCCTAAACCCTTAGATCCGCCTTTTGGCGTCTTCATTTGTGGTCGGGGCGTGCGGCAACTTTGAGGTTTCAAGGGGGTAATATAGGGGCCTTAACAATTAGAATAACGTTCCGGGGTCCATTATACTATAATTCGTTAAAATAAGGAGCCCCTTCAAACCATATTCTAACTATTAAGGCCCCTACATTGTACCTGTTGTGGATTTTGGGTTTTTGTGCGTAAGGGTTGATATTCTTCAGTGGTGTCATCCGGCATGGGCTGCTTGGGGCATCCGAGCTCATGATTCCTATTCAGGGTCTAGGGTTTAAGGTTTCTTGAGGGCTCACAAGAAGATCACAGTATTCCCTTATATCCCTTACATAAGTATGCCACAATATTCACCAAGGCCTTGTTCTCATACATATACATATATGTACGTATATAACTCTTGTATAGGTGTACATATATATATATATACACATATTTATTTACTTGTGGGTTTATGCATGTATATGTTTGTGTATTCACACGGAGCTACATATTCTGCTCCGGTTCTTGGAGCCCCAGGTATATAAGTCCTATACCGTCCTTGTACAGTCTCAGGGCTTATGTAGGGTTCAGAGAGTAGGGGGGTTGGGCTTTAGGTTTTATGTAGTATTATGTAGAGTTTCGGGTGTACCCAAAGGGCCCTAACACTTTTAGGAACCTCAAGATGTAGAATTTCTTCGAGGCCTCAAAGAGACACGAGGACTCTCGAGATTCCGGACCCTTGTGAGGAGATATCTGGACTTAGGGTAGGGCGGTGTTAGGGTTTATAAACCCTAAACCCTAAACCCTAATCCCTAATTAAACCCTTAACCCTAAACCCTATCTAGAGCAGGTTCACCACAGATTTAAGCTGCGTGCAGGATCTTGTCAGTCTTAGGCTTCAAGATGAAGGGAGGCAGGATTGAGGCTCCGCCCCGCTGATCAGATCCTTCGGGTGTAGGGTGTTGGGGTTTAGGGTTTGGGGTTTAGGGTTTAGGGTTTATGGCTGGATTCTCTTGTGGGGCTCACCCACCTACTTGCGTATGTTTTGGCACCCTTCTGACAAGACCCGTCTTTCGCAAAACGTAGTCCCCAAAGACTCCCAAACCCTTTAACTTAGGAATATACCTTAAACCATATTAGAGATCCTATTATAATTTAAAACATATTCCTTAACTAAGGGGTTTCGGAGTCTCTGGGTCTGGCATCCTCAACCACCCCCAAAATCCTAACCTGACCCAAACCCTACAAGCCCCAAGCCAGGGTTTAGGGTTTAAGGTTCAGGGTTTAGGGGTTTAGGGTTTAGGGTAGTTTAGGGTTCCTGACCCAAACCCTACAAACCCCAAGCCAGGGGTTAGGGTTTAGGGTTTAGGGTTTCGACCCAGGACCCTAAACCCTGAAGCAAAAGCCTCGAGCTCCGTCGTCCAGGCTTCTGGGACGATGAATGGTATCCTGTACATGGGTAGTTCTCCAAACTAGGGTCCCTGTTCTCTCAGGGTCCTTTTTCAACGGTTCCCTTATACAGGGGGCCTATAAGGAGTTCTAGAAGGGTGCTATAAGGGGATCTATATGGGTAGTTCTCTAAACTAGGGTCCCTTTTAGGGTCCTTTTGATAAGGGTGCCGTGCCATATCGACGACTTATGAAAAGGGACCCTGGTTTAGAGAACTACCCACATCCATAGCAAGGAGTCTCACTTTTTAGGACTAGGATGTACCTAAGGCTCAAAAATGGCCCGAGCGCATATTCTGGGCTCTTGCTCGAGAATTTGCTTTAAGTTTGCATAATGAAGAAGCCTCTTTATTTTCTATACATCCCTAGCATGGTCACCTAGATTTTGAAGTTGCATTTTTCACAAGAGCTCGGTAGTGGCCCACAAGCTTGAGAATATGAGTCTTCACGAGCCCGAAGCCCTCCAAGCCGAGCGCCTTAAGCCCTAACACCCCAATTGAAAACTCTAAGCCCCAAAAAGCCCTAAGCTCCAAACCCTAAACCGCGTGGATCGTTTAGAGCCCTAGGGTTTAGGATTGCGCCGCTTTTGCCGAAGTTCCTCGGAGACATGCGGTCTTACCAGGGTGTGGCCCTGTACCCGGCTGCTGATCTCCACAACTCCCAGAGAGCTCAAAACCCTTTGAGCAAGGAAAAGAGTAGGGTTTAGGGTTTAGGGTTTAGGGTTTAGGGTTTAGGGTTTAGGGTTTAGGAGTCTTCAGGGCTTAGGCTTCGGGTTCGGATATAGTTTTGCAGTTATATGCCCTTACACAGTACAGGCTGTACTCCGCCAATCCTAAGTAAAACCTTAACCTGAATGACGAAACGAACCCTAAAAGGGCTTAAGGTTCATATACCATATAGGGATTCATAGTATAAGGGTATAGGGCCTCTACTTTTAAGGGTCATTTCGTCTTTAAGGAATAACCCTAAGGGTCCAAAGGACCCAATAAGGTACTTTCGTTGCGGATGGTAGTTATCTAGGTTAATATTTGGGAGAGTATATGATTATTAGGTACTTGGACCCTTAGGGTTTAGGGTTTAGGGTTTAGGGTTAAGGGTCATTTCGTCTTTAAGGAATAACCTCTAGCAAGGGTTATTGCGCTCTCGGGATCTGTCGGCCTCTGGCTGAAGCCGTAATGCGGATGCGAAAACATGAGTTGTCCGAAGTTCATGCGTTGTGACATGTTGTTAAAAGGATTGGGTTGAGATTCTGGGCTTTCGGGTTTAGGGTTTAGGATTTAGGGTTTAGGATTTAGGGTTTAGGGTTTAGGCTTTGGGTTTAGGGTTTAGGGATTCATGATTCGGGACATCAACAACGACGAAGACACAGCATGGTGCGGGTGGCACAGTAAACACCAGGCAGCCTGTGAGCGATCAAACTTGCGGCTAGCGAGTAGCCGATCTGTACGCTCGTCATCTTCATAACCCTACACCCTATAAGCCTTTCACCCCACACCCTTAAACACTGAAGCCTGCACCCCTAAACCCTCATCCTCTTCGTCATCATCTGCCTCAACCCTTGACCCCAGCACCCGAAACCCGAAGCTCGTTTCTTGAACCCTAAACCCACAATCCTAAACCCCTGAACCCCACACCCACAAACCCCTCATTCCTTACCAAGAAACCCTCACTCAGCCCTTAAACCTATACCCTGTAACGGCCCCATAAGCCTGAAATTCAAATCTAAGCCTCAAGCTTACATAAACCCTAAACCTACATAACATAAACTCACATAAACCCCAAAAGCCCCAAAACCCCATTACCCTAGCCTGAGGCTCATGGACCCTCATGGTGAAAGCCCAAACCTTAGCCCCCAAAGCCCAAACCTTCCCCTAGAAAGCCCATAACAGCGATAAGAGCCTTAGGGTAGACCCTAAACCCTAAACCCCTAAACCCTAAACCCCTAAACCCTAAACCCTAAACCCTAAACCCTAAACCCCATGAACCCCTAAGTTTCTTCAACTCGCTCTTTGCTCAGCGCTCAACTCGGGGTCTTCCCGCAGGAAGGAGGGTGAGGGCGGGGGTTGGAGATGCAGCGGCGGAGCTTGAAACTTAGGAGCCCAATAGGTAAACTTTAAACTTTTTGGGTATATTAAAACCCTACTAAAAGAAAAGTTTAAACTTTTTGGGTATATTAAAACCCTACTAAAAGAAAAGTTTAAACTTTTTTTTTGGCCAGGGTACTGGGCAGCTAAGGAAAAGACCACCCTGCGGGCGAATCTTGGCAGCAGACCTGTTAGTTCTTGCTTGACTTGGCTTATCGTCGCTTTTTGGTGGGTTTTATAGGGGTTTAGGTACTGATTTCGATAAGGTTTAGTGAAAGCACAGAACTCTGCCATAGCTGGCAGAATTCATTTCGGAAACTTAGTAATGCACTACTACTGCTACTGTGATAACCACAGCTTCGCAATTGCCATCCGAGGTGGGCACGCAGAACAGAGACAGCTCTGTTTCGTCGCATGCCTCGCGTCTGCAGCTCTCCTTTGTGGAGCAGCTGCCGCGGTTGAATCACGCAGGGGAGTGGAGGGAACTTCGAGCTGCTTCGAATTTTGATGAGTTTAGGGTTTAGGGTTTAGGGTTTAGGGGCTTTGGGTTTGAGGTTTAGAGAGCTGTGTTATTCTAAGAATGTCTTCGGTTCTGAAATACAACGCTCTCGCCTTTGCTTGCTGTTCAGGGAGCCGTGGGTAAGGCCTAGTCTTTGGGGGTTGTGGGCTTTGGGCGTGGGCTTACTGTTTAGGGTTTAGGGTCCGGGCAGGCTTGTTTGTGAATTGAGTAGAGTCACGTCCGTCCAAGACCTGTCGGCATGTTTGTTTCCGTTCCCTTTGCCGGCTATGTCCTGTGTAGTAAAACAATGAGCGCGCCTCGAGCGGACGGCACCGTGCTTTTGTTCCACTTCTTGGTGCGATGGATTTGCATCATCCTAGCCTGAAGCAAGTTCAAGTCAATACAGGAGTACCACATGGTCACATGGCATGGCACATTGTTGATGACGATGATCAGAAAGATAACGATCATGCTCGTAATGGTGGTGACGGCAATTTGCATCATGCTGATGTTTGTGTGGCGGCTGTGCCAGTTGATTAGCCACGGCGGTCATTCTGCTCAACGGTTAACGGTGATGAATGATGAATGCGATTGGATGCCTTCCGCTTTGCGGTCAGGGTTTAGGCTGCCTAGTGTAGGAACCTGATTAAGAATCCCTGGTGCCATACTCCCAAATGTTAGGATTCATATAAGGGGCCCTCATAAAAACCCATGGTTTCTTAATCAGGTTCCTGCATTACTCTCTCTCTCTCTCACCCTCTCGCTGTCTCGGGTTCGGGATTCAGCTTAAAGGTCAAGCAAAGGACTTTCCGGCACAAAGCATGGGAGCTTAAGTGTTCAATCAGTCAGTCAGTCCGATGCGAAAAGCGACACAATTAAGGTTTGGATTTAGAGTGTACCCTAAGGCTCTTATTGCTATTATGGGCTTTCTAGGGGAAGGTTTGGGCCTTGGGGGCTAAGGTTTGGGCTTTCACTATGGGGGTCCATGAGCCTTAGGGTAGGTCTTTTGCGCCTGCGGGCATTTTCTGGGTATCTGTCGGGCCAGGATCGTCAGCAACCGCATTCACGGGAAGCAGCAGATTCAGATGGTCAGCACCTGAGAGTTTAGGGTTTAGGGTGTCCAATTCAACCCTAAAGCCTAAACCGTTGCTTCGCGTTCCCCTAAAGGCTTCGTGCTTTGTGTTAAGGGCTGGTCTCCTGTAATACAGGGGGTTTGGGGGTATATCATAACACCATGATCATTATAATACGGAGCCCCCAAAACCCTATTCTAGTTCTTAAGGCCCCTACATTGTATAAGTATTACAGGTTAGGGTTTAGTGTTGAGGGTTTCGTGGGTAACATCGTGATTCTTCGGAATGCGGGTTCCATGTCTTTCAGATACCAATCCCTTAGCATCAAAAATAGCATAAACGCCTTGTTTAAGGGTCTTTGGGCCCAACAGCTATAGAATATGAGTCTTTTGAGGGTGAAAATATAAGTCCTGAGCGTTAATCATTGAAATGCTAAACCCCAACACTAAGAACTACGTACACCAAGGCCTAAAACTCGACCCTTAACCCTGACATACTGTTGATGATCTAAATCCTGCATTACCTCGCATTACCTCAAGGACGCTAAGCTATGGGAACTATTGTCTATTCCTTATTCTGGGTAATGCAGGATCTACATCATCATCCGTAGTAGGCGTCCTGGAAGCTGCTGTCATGTCATGGTCTGCATGTTTCGCATAGTCTAGGGTTTAGGGTTTAGGGTTTAGGGTTAGGGCTTATAGGGTTTAGGGTTCATCGTCTTCTAGTAAGGAACCTTGCCGCTTGTTTTGCAGGGTTTAGGAATTAGGATTTGGGGTTTGGGGTTTCGGACTAGCGCAGTAGTTTTGGCGGAGTGGCATAGCCAACGACCAGTTCGTTCCGCGGTTCTTACGTAACTCCAACCCACGTTTAATGCAGCCCATCGTCATGCATGTTCAAGTTTGTGGTAGCTACTTAGATAGCCAATGGGAGAAGTTTTCAGCTTTTTGGCCTTATGAATTACGTCTATCGTAAAAAGTTCGAACTTTGTTGGACAGGTTGTTGAAGAAGAGAGTCTACTTAGGCTCACAATTGTACTTTTTTGCCGTTGCCGTGGTGGTTCCGGCTTCCGAGAACCATCGTCCCCTACAGTGGAAGCCCAAAAGTTGGAAACCCAATAGCCTCAATCCTTAAGAGAAATGCATAGCGAACCCCAGCACTATTTGAACCTTAACCCGGTTTCCAACTTTTTTGGGGTGTACGATAAGTGTCCGCCTAAGCAAGATCTTGATTAATTAGAGGAACCTCTGAGACAGGGACTCCACCCCAAACAGCGATTTGCAGTCAGCGTCCTGGACTTTCGGTAGAAGAAGCCATAAGCCTGCAAGTACTTTAGAAGCCCCACCGACCCCAACCCTATTCACCAGACCCTGTCGAAACCGTAAACACCCTGCTATAGAAATCATATGCCTTGTGGAACCCTCATAAAATCCGCCGGCAGAAATCTGTCAAAGCCGTTACAGAAACTCTGGTAAACAGAAGCCGCAGGCCGTAAAGTCTGATGTTAGGACCGCAAGCTGGCAAACGAAATGCAGAAACGAGCCTCCCGGAACTGCACCAATAAAGCCCTAAACACCGAAGAGTTTGAGGTTTAGGGCTTAACCCTGTGCACCAAGCTGCTGGAACCCCCAAACCTAAACCCTAAACCCTAAACCCTAAACCCTAAACCCTAAACCCTAAACCCTAAACCCTAAACCCTAAACCCTGAGCCAAGCCACCAAGCCAAAGGGGCGATGACTCGCTCCAACCACGTCCAAGACATCTCAAAGGCGAGCTTTAGGGTTTATATAGGGTTTAGGGTTTAGGGTTCAGGGGTGGTGTTGGAACTAAGGACATGTAGCTTAGAGTATTTGCGGGACGTCGTCCATGTAGGGGGGGTGGCTTTAAAGTGATGTCGAGCTGTCAGAGGCAGGTGAAAATAGACAGTTAGGGTGGAAGCTCACTGGGCAGCATTTTGTTATGGTTTCAGCATAAATGTGAACTGTAGATTAGGTTGATCAGCGCATTTGTGCCGTCATAGTCAGGGTATAGTCTTCGCTTCTGAGTCTGTATTTGTAACCGAGCAAAGCGCCAGATGCTGGAAAAGGCACTGGAGCGGGTGCAAGCCGAGGCGAACAACGCAAGCACGACATAAATCGACATGGTGCCTAGCGTTTTGAACGGATGTAACCCGAACCCACAACTCTGCACCCTGAACTCAGTATCGTCGTTGAAGTGCACAAGCTGCTGAGCGACCCTGTCCAGTGTCAGGGAGAGCCCCACTAAGGGTCCAAAGGACCGACTAGTCAGGGTTTCTATAGTGTGAGGCCTAAATAATCGCCAATACTATTTTGGGTGTTCTTCATTATGATTATAGTATAATGGGCCCTAAAAACCTTTTTCTAATGGATAAGGCCCTTAGATTATAGAATCCTTATAGTAACCCTGATCGTATCCCTTTTAAGGGACCCTTTAACGGAACCCTATTCTAATTATTAAGGCCCCTATATTCACGGCTTCCTCTTGGCTGCGAGGGTCGAAAGGTTCCACTACTTCCGGGTGCTCGGCTTGAGGACAGAGGTGTCGTAGGCTAGTGTTTTGTCGATCATAGGGGGGGTTCCGAAAGTAGGGGACCCTAATATCGTACCTTAAATAGTATATAGGATCCTTAATATATGGGGCCCCAAAATAACGTACCCTAATTTTCGGAAACTCCCATATGGCTAGTTGTCAAAATTATGGTCCCTTTTGGGGTACCCTAAATAATAGGTGCCGTATTATAAGAAGGACCATAAAAGGGACCGTAACTTTGACAACCACCCAATATGCTTATTTGGTGCTTTGACCTGCTTAGTGCATCCCTAAACCCTAAACCCTAAACCCTAAACCCTAAACCCTAAAATGTTGTATTGATTGCTGTTATGGGGATTTTCAGACTCAGAGCTGCAAGCCTGTTCACGATTGTTTAGTGTTAGGGGCCCTAAACCCTAAACCCGGGGTCTTATGGTTATGCTTCGGGTACAAGATCTTCTTCGTGTTTCAAGAACGATGACAAAGTCTAAGTTGTACCTCTGCAGAAATATGCCTCCTCCTTCTCCCGCACTTAATCATGCACGCTCTGAGAGTTCGACCGGGGTTTATGGTGAATCCCAGGGGCCTAAATAATTACCAATACCGTTCTGGGGGGTTGCTTGGTATATTTATAGTACAAAGGGGGCCCAAACCCCATTCTAACTATTAAGGCCCCTAAACCCTAAACCCTTATAACTTGTAGTAGCCATTATAGAACCCTTTTCAGGGATCCTTTCTTGAGGGATCCTTTAGAGGAGCCCCCAAACCCTAGGACTTTGGGTTCAGGGTTTAGTGTGTAGGGTTTTTGGGGAATGCAACTTGGGCTGAGGGGCTTTTGAGTATCTGTGACCCAAAGACAGCAGCTTCAAATCATCTGTTAAGGATTGCCTAGACCTTCTGACCCGAAAACCCCAATGCAGTACCTGGCCAACGTCATCTGGCATCGTGCGCAGGTCTTTTCGCCATCGATACCGTGGAGACAGACACGAAGCTCTACGATGCCCAGAGCCTACTTCTGGGATCTGAACACCCAGCAATACGGCTGATGAGATAAATCCTGCATTGATCGTAATAAGGAATATACCATAATTCCCATAGTTTTGGGTCCTGAAGATAATGCATGGTTTATATCATCAACAGGAGTAATCCGCATATAGCAGTTGCATCCAGACCCATGTAGCGCCCAAAAAAAAAACAGAAGCCCTCCCTAAGCCCTGTTCCTGTGAGTGCTGGGGCGGCTTTGGATGCCAGTTGAGAGTGTAGAAGTTCAAGGTTTGATGTTAGTGGTTTGGCGCGTCGGAAGCTTAGGGTTCAGGGTGTAGGACACTGTAGGATTTGGGGCTTTGGGCTTTAAGGATTAGGATTTTGGGTTTAAGGTTTAGGGTTTAGGGGTTCATGTTGGAGCCAACAGGGAGAAGCCAGAAACCTGGGTCATAGTATAGGGATTCCCGGCCCTAAGCCCTAAACCGTAAAGCATTGTCGTACCAGCAGGATGCCAGGGGAACTCCGCGCAGCGGAAAAGAACCAGGCGGTTTAGGGTTTAGGGTTTAGGTTTAAGGGGCTACTTGGAGGATCATGGGACTTAGTAAGTATGGTCACAAGTACCTTAGTTGGAAGTATAAGCAGTTTTTGATATAGTTACCCTAATTATAACCCTAGTTACTAACAGTTACTAAATTCCATGACCCCTCAAGTATTGCAGAGGAGGATCTCAAAGGGATCATGCGGCTGTTCCACTTCGACTTGAATGACTAGGGTTTAGGGTTTAGGTTTTAGGGTTTAGGGTTTAGGGTTTAGGGTTTAGGTTTTAGGGTTTAGGGTTTAGGGTTTAGGGTTTAGGATGTAGGAGTACATCTCTCTCCCGAAGGGCTTTGGGTTTAGTGTTTAGGCATGGGAGCTTGGTGGTGTTCTCTTTTCTAGGCTTTTGGCCGATACTTTTCCCAGAGGTTCCATATATGGGAGTCTCCGAAAATTACGGTACCTTATTTGAGGCTCTTTATAATAAGTGTCCTACTATTTAGGGTACTATATTAGGGTCCCCTATTTTCGGACACCCCCATATACTACCATTATGGAATTAGGTCCAAAAAGACCATTCATATTAGGTTTTGGGGGGCCTAATTCCATAATGGTAGTATATATGGACCCTTAGGGTTTCTTCTCAAGGAACAGGTCTTGCTGACTCGCTGCGGAGAAAGGGGGGCCATTGCACTAAAACACAGCCCTAAACCCTCAACCCTAAGCCCTAAACCCTGAACCCTAAGCCCTAAACCCAAAACCCTAAACCCTCAACGCTAAGCCCTAAA